TAATCAAAAAAGCATGAATGTGTAGTCCCATCGCTCTCACTTCCCTCAGATTAAATGTCACTCAACCTGCTTTCTTCAACTCCATTATTCTTTCTATCCAATTACATCTTCCTGCTACAGTAACACGAGCCTCTACAAGAAAGAAGATTTTAATTAGCCTCTTCATTTTGCGTTTTACAAGCATCTTAAATCTCTTTTGAGGTGTACATTACTACATGTGATGGCTTGAAATAACCTTTTTCCACCTCGTCTCGGCCAAGAGGCTCCAATATTGTTTCGAACACAATAGTATTCCTCCAAAGTAGTCATAAACATTTTCTGATAATGCCAATAATGTTAAAAAGGAGATAAATACAAACTACTACTACAGGTTTCTTGAGGGCCCTTTTTATGATTAGGTAATTATTTCCACTATTTACCTGCTAAATCACCTTTTTCAGCGTTTTCTTCGCTCTGTCTCTTGTTAGTTTCCACATGCCTAAAACAACCTCAAGCTAAATCTAAAAGTTGATGGCTAAATAAGAGCGTTTGAGAAATTGTGCAAGGCATAATAGACCGAATAGTCGATTAATCGTTTAATGAATCGATTATCAAAGTAGTCGTTTGTTGCAGCCCTGCTTTGAACTGCACGCTCTTTTTTATCCGCATTTTGTCACTGCTTTTAACCTTAATTGTATTTTCTATGCTTTTATTCTTTACTGTTCTTTTAGCAACTGCCTGACTGTGGACTACAGATGGAAAAAAGGCTTTTTTAAAACATCGGGCATATTTTTACAAATGTCATTTTTAATAATGGTCCCTGTCAAATGAAGTAATAACTAAAAACATTTCCACTTCATCTCCAAATGAGCTACCTGGCAGTACTTTGAACATGTACGATAACTCTGTCTCTGTTCTTTGACACCGGGGTTGTATCGACTGCAGTCCCTTTTGCATAAACGGGACTCAGGTGTTCATTCAGACGTGAAACTGCACCTTCATTTGTCATCAGAGTAATGTAAGGGGTAAGAGGAGGCATGCTTGAAGGTGGATTTAGTTATCAATATTTGCCTTACACTTCTTTAGCAGTCTGAGAAGCATTTCATAATATTTCTCCTCATGTGAAACGCTGCCTGGAGGAGCTTAATCTGACACCTTTAAGAGGTTTCAGTTCAATAAAGGTAAAAGCCTTTTTATTACTGTGATGTGAAGCTGCTGGAAATAACAGCAGCTCTTTTGAATCCTGATACTTTCTTCCATTTGATATTCATGGAGCTCTACCTCCTGACAGTGGTAGTTGTTGCTGTGGATTGCAGAGAGTTTTGTTTATTTGATATTCAGAGATTTCTTCAGAGAGCAGAGAAACATTATCTCCTCACCTCGGCCTGAGGAGAGGGCAGTACACACCACAGCAGTAAACATACAGAAAGCATCACTAAAGGGAATAGAAAACAACCTTAAATGAACCTGTTAAGCCCCAAAGCCCCCGTCGGCGGGTCTTTTTTTTTTTTTAATTAATTTTTTTTCTTTGGATGGAATGAATACCTATGGTGATAATTCAATGTAATACATCATATTTATAGTCTGGTACCTGAAAAAGGTCAAATGGCACTGATGGAACCAAATGTGCCGAAAGCTTATTCCGCCTGGAACTTTTTTTTGCTAAATCTCTCTAAAAAAGTCAAATTTAACTTGTTTTGCCTCAATCTTATTATATGTTATAGTTTGGATTCCTAAAGCTTTTAGTCTACCATCCCATCATTCAAGGGTGGTTTTCACTATAAGTAATGTTTTTTCTTTAGGCAGAGGTAAGAATTTACCTTTTTTTGCTATGTTCCATCTGAATTTACTCTGACTGAGAAAAATCTATATTGATTCTGACACTTCTACATCCAACTCACAGATGTAACTTTGCTTTGATAACATAAATTATTCATATAACCCTTTTAGAAGTGAAGTTGTAGTCATTTGTTTTGGGCATGTCATTTTCGAGCCTGAAACCTGAAAAACAGGCTCGGGGCTTAACAGGTTAAGTAAAAATATAATGGATGAGTCCCTTAGAGGATATATATCATGTAGCTTCTCGATGGAAAACACTGTTTAAAAGTCTTTATCTGAAAGGTAAAAAAAGGCAGTAAAGGCAGAAATATGACAGATATTAAATCTGAACGTACTCCACAGAGCCAAAGTATTTCAACGGGGAGTGTCCACATGTTTTTGTATTTTTTTCACTACACAAACAACCTTTCCCACGGAGCTTAACTTTCACTCACATAGTGAATGTTGCACAAAACATGATCTTTCCCTTAACTTAACTTAATAAGTAGCTTTGTTGCCTAAAGCCTAAACGGGCTCTGTAATGCTCATGTTCAGGTTCGTATTTGTATGTAGTGTCTCTACCGTGACATGTCTCCATGCTTTAATGTTCAAAAAGCTCTGTATTTGTTCTCATACTGCCTGTGCTGCAGCACCTCTTTTCACCCTCTGTCTGAAACCAGAGCCCAGTCTGCTCTGATTGGTTAGCTGGCCGGCTCTGTTGTGAAGGGGAACTTTGGGATTTTAGCCTTTGCAGACCATTTACACAATAACACACAAAGGAACAACCCCAAAAAGCATAATAGGGCCTCTTTAAGGAAATGTTGGGGCCACATTTCAAATCTTAAATTGTATATGCGTTCAAAATGTTACTCAACGTTCTAGATGTTCTTAATATTCTTATCGTTTTTATTTTATTTTCATTGTTCTTAACAATGGAGACGTTCTACTGTCTAAATGTATAAGACTTTCTAGATGTATTAAATAGTTCTTTGAATTCTCAACATTTCAGATTTTCTACACTCGAAAGGTTTTAAATCTATTAAATGTTACACACGTCTATACATTCTACATTTTCTAAGCGTTCTTAATGTTCTAAAGATTATACATTTTCTAAAATAATTCTAAATGTTGCACACATTCTACATTTGCTAACCGTTCTACGTGTTCTGCTGGAGAACAGAGGTCCACTGAACCCTCACACTGGGCGAGCGAGGCTCATTTCTCTCTCTCAGCGGGTTGTGTGTAATCTCAGTCTGCTCACAGCTGGAGCCTCCAGACCACTTTAACATGAGAGCAACCACAAGCCACACACACACACACACACACACACACACACACACACACACACACACACACACACACACACACACACACACCTCTCTGTGTGTGGGTGGGTGTGTTGTGAAAGATCCCTAAGCCTCCTCTGTTTTGATTACTGGCTAATTTGCATGACGCACCCTGCTGTGAGCTCACACATACACATACACACACACACACACGCACACACACACACACACACACACACACACACACACACACACACACACACACACACACACACACACATACACACACACACACAAGCCCGCAGTACAGATGAACACGTCTCATACACACACACATTGTTGTACAGAAAGGAAGCCACACACACTGTCCCGCTGTGCTTTGTGTCAGTGTGACTTATAGGATTTCAGCATTTTATTATCTGAAAAACAAAAGACTGTAGCTAATAGTGTGTGTGTGTGTGTGTGTGTGTGTGTGTGTGTGTGTGTGTGTGTGTGTGTGTGTGTGTGTGTGTGTGTGTGTGTGTGTGTGTGTGTGTGTGTGTGTGTGTGTGTGTGTGTGTGTGTGTGTGTGTGTGTGTGTGTTAATCATGCAGTGTTTTCATTTTTTCTCTCCCTCGGTCATCAATATTCTCGTCCTCACTCAGCAGATAAACACTGAGCGTCACGTTCTGCGCTGACATTTCTCTCAAACACCGCTGAAATAATAATAATATGTTCTCTTCAGCAGCAGCTAGACACGAGGCCTTACAAAGAAAAATATCTGAAACACTGCTGCTCACATTTCTACCATATTTCTAACAAATCACTTTACTAAAAATAACGTCAATTACAACTCAATTGAAACAGTAAATTATCTTTGTAAGAAGAAATAAGATAAGATGCACTTTATTGATCCCAATTTGGGAAATGTTTTGTTTGACAAGGCATTGCACATAAGTAGAAAAGAGACAGTGATTGCATTAAAACATGTAGTCTCATCGAGATCAGGAAGCTTATTTCAAAAGAGAGCTGCGAACAAAAAGAATGTATAAACATATTCAGATAATGCATAGACAGAAGCAGAGATAATTCAGGAACGATAACGTATACTTTTTCACAATAAGAAAATGGTTTACAAATGGAATTGCAAATACAATAAGAAAAACCTTTTAAATGTTCGAGAGACGATGAAGAAAATATAATGTAATCTTAAGAAGTCATGCCCTTGACATCACGTTTGGGGAAACAAATACCAATGTATATTTTTAGGAAAATTGTATTTTAGCCTGAAGATTGAGAAGAAAATGTTCAGTCAGAAAACCAAAGAAAAACAAAACCAGATTGTCATGACATTTGGCCCCACGCAAAGTTATATGATGAGGCCCTCTGTGTCGCGAGCGTCGACGGGGGGTGGGGGGGTGGGGGGGGGGTGCTAGTGGAGCCTCGCTGCAGTGAAACTGTGGCGCGCTTACACATTTGCGCTTCAAATGAGGCTCCCTCCGCAAAATGAGGCCCCCTCCGCAAAATGAGGCCCCCTCCGCGAGGTGAGGCCTGTAGGGAGGGGCGGCCCTGATAAGTTACATTACATTACATTTATCTGACACTTTTGTCTAAAGCAACTTACGAATAAGAACAATTGACCATGAGGATTCAAACGCAGAACAGCAAGAAGAGTGCTATTATGATAGTGTGATATTTACTTCTAATAAGAAAGACCATTGTAAGTGCAGCTGCATAAATTAAACTCTCAAGTGCTTTTTTTATTGTCCAAGGTACAAGCGATACAGGTAGATTCTCTTTAATAATACAAATAATAATACATGTTAATTATATAGCACTTCTCCTGGTGCTCAAAGCCTGAAAAAGTGACCAATGCCGCCGTCTTTTTTACCTCTTTCTGACTTTTTAAAACTCTGTCTGTTCTGTTTTGTTTTGCAGACGTTGAGCCTCCAGGGGGGAAGCAGCTGATTGGTTGATCTTGTCTGGAGGTCAGGGGTCGAAGGCCATGGCGGGCCGACTCCTCCTCTTCCTGTTCGTCACGGTGACGCTCGGCCACGCCCACTTCCCGTCTGGCCAGCGTCAGAAGCCCCGCCTCCAGAGAGACCGCCGCAACATCCGGCCCAACATCATCCTGATCCTGACCGACGACCAGGACCAGGAGCTGGGTGAGTAAACACACATACTACTGTTATAGTATATTAATACTTCACTAATACACACTATTATAATACTTCTACACTACCACTAATGCCTTTACACACTGACGCTAGTAGTGTTGAAACTCATTAACCATCATAAAACAACACCACAGAACTTAAATTAGCTTTATTTATACCATAACTGACCTTTTGTCACCGTGTGATTAGTCTAATGATGTAAAGAGACTAAAATTAAGGTATTTTTTTAGGTAACAATTTGGAACCTGGAAGTGGAGCAAAAGCAATAACTTTTCAGTAGCTAGATCATATGACATTACTGTATCATAAGAAAAAAGTAATCAGACTTTTAAATCACAATTATTGAGCTACTAGGAAAATCTAATAAGATTTATACTTTATTGTTCAAAAATCATTTAGGAATATCTGATCATTTTGGCAATTTGTGTCTTTTTTAAATGTTTCCATTACTACTATTATTTTATCACTTGTTTTTGTGTGATAAATAATTCCCCTTATACATACAGTATTACCAATCAATGTTGTACAGAGTGTATAATGTACTAACAGGATATTTCTTCCTCTCTCGGCAGGTTCGATGCAGGCGATGAATAAAACTCGCCGCATCATGGAGGAGGGCGGGACTTCCTTCTCCAACGCCTTCGTGACCACGCCCATGTGCTGTCCGTCACGCTCCAGCATGCTCACTGGGAAGTAAGTCAAGTTTATCATGTTTAATATATAGAATTAGATTGAACCACACTAAATATATATATATATATATATATATATATATATAAAACCCACTCCTTGTGTCCCTCAGGTACGTTCACAACCACAACACCTACACCAACAACGAGAACTGTTCCTCGATGTCATGGCAACGGCAGCATGAGCCACGGTCCTTCGGGGTGTACCTGAACAACACTGGATACAGGACAGGTACACACACACACACCAAACATACACACAAACAAAAACACACATATAAACATGTTTTGCTACATATGTGAGGACCACAAACCCATAGCATGATGTGTACCCCACTCTGACAGTTTTACCTTTCTTTCTTTGTGTGTGTGTGTGTGTGTGTGTGTGTGTGTGTGTGTGTGTGTGTGTGTGTGTGTGTGTGTGTGTGTGTGTGTGTGTGTGTGTGTGTGTGTGTGTGTGTGTGTGTGTGTGTGTGTGTCATTGATCCAGCCTTCTTTGGGAAGTACCTGAATGAGTACAATGGCACGTACGTCCCCCCCGGGTGGAGGGAGTGGCTCGGCCTGGTGAAGAACAGCCGCTTCTACAACTACACACTGAGCCGCAACGGAGTCCGAGAGAAGCACGGAGCCCAGTACCCACAGGCAGGGACACACACACACACACACACACACACGCACACGCACACGCACGCACACACACACACACACACACACAAAAGTAGGGGAAATGTGTTGTTATGTGTCCTGCAGTCAATTAGTTGAGATAAGTTCTCATTAAAACTTCTCTTTACAAAACCAATAAATATTCAAGAATAATTCATAACATTTTGAAATGTGACTCTTGTTAAGTTTAGGTAACTTCAGGATTTATTTCTTCCCTTTTTATCTAAAAAAAAACCTCACTTAAGCTACAACAACAAAGAAATACAAACCATAACATTTCCCAACTTCTTATCTTGCATACAGTATGATAGTTGTTGATATCAATTATACACTTTTCACACGTTGTGAAATCATTTTTCAACATTTATATTTTAAATCAACGTCTCTCTCTTTCAAGTTTAATGGCATATTCCTAGAAATAATGATGTATTCTGGGACAAATCAAAGCAAAACAATTCAATTTAAAAGTGAAACAGAATTAAATGAAAACATAATGACCCAGGGTTTTAACAATAACAATAATAATAATTATAAAAATGCTTGTGTGTTGTGTTCCAGGACTACCTGACGGACCTGATCACGGCCGAGTCCATCCGGTACTTCCGCTCCTCGAAGAGAGTGTATCCTCACCGGCCCGTCATGATGGTGCTGAGCCACGCCGCGCCGCACGGACCTGAAGACTCAGCGCCGCAGTACAGCACCGCCTTCCCCAACGCATCACAGCACATGTAGGCCCACACACACACACCACACACACACACACACACACACACACACACACACACACACACACACACACACACACACACACATTAACACACACACACCTACACACAATGAGACTAAGCCACTGTAATCCAGCTGAAGAATGGGGCTGCTCCGCTCCGCTCTGAGGGATAAATCCTGATATAACACGACTGAAACAAAGCAATCCTCCCTCATATCTGTGTGTGAGTGTGTGTAGTGTGTGTGTATGTGTGTGTGAATGTGTGTGTGTGTGTTTGTGTGTTACAAATGCATGGGTTTTATTTCTTAGTTCATTATTTTTCCGATTTGAACAGAATTTCTATTAAAACCTGTCAGTCTACACATACAGTATGAGCTGAAAGAGAGACATACACACACATAAGAACACACACTCACACACACACTCACACACATGCATCACAGCAGTGCCAGACAATCTTTTACTTCCCTTGTAAAGCCAAACAGATGCCGGAGGACTCGCTGGCCGGACTCCAGTCAGAAGAACATTTAAATCCCATTTAAAGCTCAGCTGGCTTTCTGGTAATACAACAACTCTGCAGGAACAGACAGAAATCTCTGTCCTCTGGAGGGAAACAATAAAACCCTAATACACTGTCCTGGGAAACAAGTGACTCTTGCACAGAAACACAACTTTCATACTGATTTAAATAAAAAATTAGAACCCAGGATACCCCCAAAAGGTTCTGGATTCAGACTTTAGACAGGCTAGATAGGGAACATAGTCTCTTCATTACATATTTGCAAGAGACAATGAATCAGCCGTGCAAGCTGTGTGTTTAAATATGACATGTACTGTTGCTATAACAAGCCATTATACTGTATGTTAAATCATGCTTTGTTCAGTTCCAGCATTATCATTGTTGTTCTAGTTTTAAAGGGACCCTATATTATGCTGATGTTCAGGTGTATATCAGTATGTAGTGTCTCTACTTTAAAGAGTCCTCTCCTGCTGATGTTCAGGTGTATATCAGTATGTAGTGTCTCTACTTTAAAGAGTCCTCTCCTGCTGATGTTCAGGTATATATCAGTATGTAGTGTCTCTACTTTAAAGAGTCCTCTCCTGCTGATGTTCAGGTGTATATCAGTATGTAGTGTCTCTACTTTAAAGAGTCCTCTCCTGCTGATGTTCAGGTGTATATCAGTATGTAGTGTCTCTACTTTAAAGAGTCCTCTCCTGCTCATGTTCAGGTTCATATCAGTATGTAGTGTCTCTACTTTAAAGAGTCCTCTCCTGCTGATGTTCAGGTGTATATCAGTATGTAGTGTATCTACTTTAAAGAGTCCTCTCCTGCTGATGTTCAGGTGTATATCAGTATGTAGTGTCTCTACTTTAAAGAGTCCTCTCCTGCTCATGTTCAGGTGTATATCAGTATGTAGTGTCTCTACTTTAAAGAGTCCTCTCCTGCTCATGTTCAGGTTCATATCAGTATGTAGTGTCTCTACTTTAAAGAGTCCTCTCCTGCTGATGTTCAGGTGTATATCAGTATGTAGTGTATCTACTTTAAAGAGTCCTCTCCTGCTGATGTTCAGGTGTATATCAGTATGTAGTGTCTCTACTTTAAAGAGTCCTCTTCCTGCTCATGTTCAGGTGTATATCAGTATGTAGTGTCTCTACTTTAAAGAGTCCTCTCCTGCTGATGTTCAGGTGTATATCAGTATGTAGTGTCTCTACTTTAAAGAGTCCTCTCCTGCTGATGTTCAGGTGTATATCAGTATGTAGTGTCTCTACTTTAAAGAGTGCTCTCCTGCTCATGTTCAGGTTCATATCAGTATGTAGTGTCTCTACTTTAAAGAGTCCTCTCCTGCTGATGTTCAGGTGTATATCAGTATGTAGTGTATCTACTTTAAAGAGTCCTCTCCTGCTGATGTTCAGGTGTATATCAGTATGTAGTGTCTCTACTTTAAAGAGTCCTCTCCTGCTCATGTTCAGGTGTATATCAGTATGTAGTGTCCTCTACTTTAAAGAGTCCTCTCCTGCTGATGTTCAGGTGTATATCAGTATGTAGTGTCTCTACTTTAAAGAGTCCTCTCCTGCTGATGTTCAGGTGTATATCAGTATGTAGTGTCTCTACTTTAAAGAGTCCTCTCCTGCTGATGTTCAGGTGTATATCAGTATGTAGTGTCTCTACTTTAAAGAGTCCTCTCCTGCTGATGTTCAGGTGTATATCAGTATGTAGTGTCTCTACTTTAAAGAGTCCTCTCCTGCTGATGTCCAGGTGTATATCAGTATGTAGTGTCTCTACTTTAAAGAGTCCTCTCCTGCTGATGTTCAGGTGTATATCAGTATGTAGTGTCTCTACTTTAAAGAGTCCTCTCCTGCTGATGTTCAGGTGTATATCAGTATGTAGTGTCTCTACATGTCTCCATACTTTAATGTTCAAAAAGCTCTTTACTTTCCTCATACTGCCTGTGCTGCAGTCTTTGCAGACCATTGACATGCACACAAACCTATATAACACACTACAGGGAAGGGAACATCAGAATAAGGCCTCTTGAATGAAATATCTGTGTTAAAACAGACTAACCTGCAGTTTAAAGGTAACAGGTTCTCTTTTTAGGAGGAAAGAACATAAAAGCTGAACTTCATATTGTAAAAACGAAATCTGGATGAAAGGTTGGAGCGTCTCCCGGGAGAAATAAA